TTTTTAAGAACACCTTTGGTATAGTAGCTGCTGTTGTGAAATGCCTGTTCTATTCATGTCAGTCCAATTTCTTTGTTTTGATATCTCAGGACTTGAAACGTTCCAGGGCACTGTGTTCTCTTCCCATAGGAAGAACGTGTTGAACAACAGCACTGGCTGGAAGCAGTGATTATAACAGCAGCATCTGTTGTAAGCAAGGCAGTGTGGGATAAGTGAGTGGTCTTGTGTGCCTCTTTGAGTCAGCAGCATTTAAGGAGGGTCTCTGCTGTGAATTGTGCTCTAGACCCAAGAACACTTAACTTTCTCTCTTGGAAGAGGCAGAAAGCAGTGGGGGGAGCCCTCAGTAAAAGGGAAAGCAGCAGTATGTGGGAAGGAAGTTTGGAGAATATTTTAATTGTTACTTACTAGTGAGTTCAGATTAATCCAGCTAATTCATTAATCAGCCTAATCTCTTTCCAGAGAAACGAAAAAGACGTCGACTGGGGCTAGAAGTTATCTTTGCAGTCTTGGATTATGCTGGCTGGAAGAAAAATGTGAAAGCATGGAGTTGCTTGGCAAGACAGGTGAAACAAATTGTAATGTAAGTGTAACTGATGTAAAGTGCTAAGAAAGGAATTTGTGTGTCAAATCTCCACCTCTGGACAATTGACAAAGTGATTCTTTTGTAACCATTGTCTTTCATGCTGGTAGGTGGAATACTGGGCTGGCCTGTACTGAGTTCTGTGGCTGTGCTTGGCTGCAGGGTGCTTTCAGTGGCAGGCTAGAAGAAATTATTACTAAGGGCAATTCTTAAATTTTCACTGTAATCATTAGCTGAAAAAGGTTTTTACCAGGTCGTGTTTATGCAGAAAATGCTGTTCAAATGTCTGGATAACATTTACTGCCTGTCACTGTTCTCCTTCTTCCAGGAGAAAAACAATAGTTAGGTCTTTGCTGTTAAACATACATTGGCTGTAACAGGTTTGGGCATCAGTGGACTGCGAAGGGGTCATGGTGTGTTGTGTTCTCCTTTGTTGGTAACTTACAGAATACAATGTGTTCTTAACAGCTAAGTCAGATGCCTGGGGATTGATACATACTTGCTTATGTGTTCAGAGGAGGACTCTGATTTCAGGAGTCCCATCTCCAGGCAATCCATGCCCAGAAGATCTCTAATGTCTGGGTTTTTTTTTCCAAAAAAAAAAAAGAGGTTTTAGTTTTTTTTTTTTTAAGCCTTGCATATTTATGGTGAATCAATTCAGTACTGTTTGACCATTTTGCTATTTTATTGCTGCAACTACCTATGCACAAGGTCCAGAAGTTAATGGGTTAAAACTGGGGATGTTGTTGCATACGGTTAGGAAAAATGGTACAATGCTTGAACTTTGCAGTTTTGTTTTTGAGGACACAGCTTCAGAGTACCTTGAAATACAGGGCATTGTGGTCACTTCCCTGGTGTATAGATTGTTTTCATTTCTGACATGCTGTAAGGTCTTCAGTGCCGAAGATAATGGGATAAGGAAGTATTTGCAATACAGTAGTGTTTGATTATGCATAGATTAACCCAAAGTTTTCTTTAAATACTGCTGCTTAAATTCTTCAGTCTGCAGTGTAGTGTCAAAGTCTGCTAACATACCAAGCTGATTGTAAAACTCAGTGCCTCCTCTTCACTATTTCATCTCAATTTTTCTTGTTTTACCTTTTTGCAGTTCTGAGAAGCATCTTGACTGGATTAAGCGGGAGTGGAGCTCCAGGAAGGACTGGTGGCCAGCCTTCCATTTTAGCCGCTACTTAGCAAAGAGCAATTGGCAGGAAAATGAAAGCCTTTCGTATGAAAAAGCTCTGGTGGCTGGAGTTCTTCTAGGAAAGGGTAATACTAAATGTTCTTTCTCACTACATACACTAGAAATAACATCTAGTTCTAGCCCTAATGAGATAAGATGCATCTGTTCTGCTCCCTGGAAGAAATGCTGTTTCTTTCTTCTAGGGAAGATTGTGGTCTTTGAAGTTAAATGGGAGAAAAATGTTTAAAACAGTTTGATGTTCCTCTCTAAGAGACCTAGCTTGCATAACTTGCCTTCTCCTGGGTTTGAGTTCAATTTTACTTGGCCTTGTTGAGCAGTCACAATACCACAGACTCTGTTTATAACCTTGAAACCACAATTTCAAAAATATACAGCAGGATCCTGAGTGAATGTTGTGAGGGATACAGAAAGTTTGCTCTCTGGGCTACAGTCTAAGCAGTGTCTTAGCAAATACTGAGGATTAGGTGGTCCTTAAGGATCTTGTGAGTGATGTAACATAGAAAAGAGGAGGAAGGAGGTCTTGAGTGAAATTAGTGACAGTTCAATAAAAAAGTGAAAGTCAGGACTTTTGAGGTAGTATTCATTGAAATGTTGCTGAAACCAGTTAGAACATCTGACCAGGAAGTGGTGACAAAATTAAGAATGAGAATGTGGTGTGAGAGCATAATTTATCTGTAAGTTTGGGCCTTCAGTTAGTTAGAAGATTTATTCTTTCCATTCTTTTAACTTCCAGACTCTGTAGAACAGTTTCTTGTGTTGAAAGTCTGTTCAGCTCTCAGTAATTTGGTGCTGCAGTTATGTTGGTAATGTGCATGTCTTGGATTGTTTTATTGCCTTCTGAAATAGAGAACTTGCATACTTGCATGCTACTTAAAAAGTAGAAGTGTTTTGTTTGCTTGCGTTGTGGTAAAGCTGACATTACTTTTTCTTCTCTTGCTTAGACTGCAAGTACTTTAAATACGTGTCGCACCATGGCTGCAAAGCTCAGGTGAAAAGGTTTCGGACACTCAAGAAGTTTGTGAATAAGCACAGCAGTGCCTACCTGAGCATATCTGGTCTTTGAGATTCCTCTGTACAGCTGTGATTAAAAGGTGTCCTCAAGGGTCTTGCTGCATTTTTTTCCCCTTGTGAAACTGGCTTTTGTATTAGCATTAGTCTAAAATCTGCTCTAAAGAGAAACTGTCAACTCTAGTAGATTATTTTTTTTTCTGTTAAAAGCACTAGGTTTGTATTTATTTCATAATAAAATTATGTAAATCAATGGATGATGCTGAAGAATTTCTTTAAGTTTTTGATTTCTGTGAAATGCAAACATCAGTAATTTCATGCATACCTTGAGAACTACTTGGTAATTATGGTATAGAGTTTCTCTGATATTGTAGGGTGGCTCTTATGTTCACTTGTATGGATGCTGATTTAAATGGCTGCTGGAAAACCCACTCAGGGCTAGTTGTGGCAATCATAAGTGGGATGCTTTAACCTACAAACAGTGTGTGATGCAGCATGAAGCAAGTTTCTCACTACAAGTGTTGTATAACTTGTTTATGGCTGATTTCCTGAAATATGTGGAAATTTGAGAGGCCTGTACTTCACTCTTTCCATTGTATATTGAGATATATAGGCCATGAAGCAACCTGTTCACATAGCTGAGGCATTTTGACGTACCCTAGTCAGTTTCCATGCGTTGTATTCATGGCTTGTGTCCTGTTCAAGGGAAGTCCTCATACTGTTGGGGGGGGAGCTGAAGGTAGGATTGCTGCTGTATTGTGGTGATGGGAAAGCTGGTGTTGCAGAGCTTCAGAGAGAAACAGCACTGAACTACTGAAAATGTTACGAGCTGCAAAGAGGATTGCTACAGCCTCTTCTGCAGTCCTGCCTGTGAGTTGAACTGCACACTGTTGCTGTGTTTGGAAAGCAAATGTTAATGTGTTGTCACAAACTAGCATTCCAATTCATTTAAAAACAACAACAAAAATCTTTCCAAGTACTACTTCTGTTTTAATGACAGCTCTGTAGAATTCAGTTGGGTGGCTGGCTTGAGCCACCACTGGGAATGACTAAAGATGTCTTTAACAGTGTGGTACTATATGGATAAGTTCAGCTGTGCTTTTAATAGACGAGTGTTTATCTGGGAGTTTAGTCTAGGTTAGTGTTGGGTCTTGTGATGTGCTCTGAGTATTTGAACAGTGCAAACTACTTTCCATAACTGCTTCTTTATTTCTGTCTTCATAAGAAGGCTGCTGCCTTGTTTTGTGATGATCTACTGCTTTATTATGGGTCTTAAGTTGAATTTTGATTGTTTCAAAATGCTCTGCCTCTATTGAAGTATCCCACACCATCAGGAAGCAGCTCCCTTTAGTCCGAAGGATGATCCTAACAGCTGTGTGCAGTGATTCATCTTGATGGGATTTGTGCATGGACAGTGGGGCTTTCCTGGGACAGCCCTGGGAGGCGACCAGACAGGATGCCCCTTCCTTGGAGTCGTTAATTTGGATTTCTGCCTGACACTGTGTTCCTCTGGGCTTCAGAATTGGGCCATTGATAGAGCAGATGACTCCCTGGAGGTGGGCCTGGGTGTGTTTTGATAGTATTTGTCTTCTGTGCCACTTTCCCTCATCTCTGTGCTGGTGTGCAGATGAGTTGATATCGTATGACTTAACACAGAGTTACAAAACTAGATGCTCATTCCTCTTATGTCCCCTTAGCTGCCTGTGGGAACCATGTGCACCCTTTCGATAAAGAGGGGGAAAAAAATGCGGGACAGCAGCAGAGATTCGCGTGGCAGTAAGAATGTGAGAACAAGAAGGAGTTGATGTCTTTGAAAAAATCTGTTAATCCACTGTGCTCAGAGCTTTCTCCTGTCACCTTCTCTGGGAACAAGATTGCTGCCAGGGATCATGTTCTAGTGACAGAAGGGAACTGCAGAGCTGCAGTCAGCACTGGAAGATGAGCATGGTACTAGTTTTTGCATGACAGTCTTGAGTATTACTTTCATGTCTTATGGGAAATCACAAGTTTCTTTACGTGTAGGACTTGGATCTGAAAGAAAAAAAAACCCCAAACTTGTTAATCTCAAGTCCTGAGTGGAATTTTCTATTCATGCTATTGAATGCCATACTGTGTTCTCAAGCCTGTGCATTGTACTTTGAATATGTTGACTCCTAGTGCATTGGAATATTCTGCTTTGGCTCTGAATTCTGTGGTCAAGGTTTGGTTTTCTTCTGAATTGATTCCTCATCCTGCGTACAAAACTTGTGAGGTGTTTCCATGAAGCAAATAGCAAATCTTTCCTTGCCTCGTTTATGTTGAAGCAAGGAACTTGCTAAGGGAATCCAAATCTCTTGGTCCACGTGCCCAGTGTGTTGTCCTTCAGATATTCCATCTCCTGTTCTGGAATTTCATTTCCAAAGACTTGCACAAGACTTGGATTTGCATTTGGAGCACTGTAGGCACGTTGTCAGCACTACACAGGTGTCAGCACTAAGCAGATGTGTACTCTACCCTCGGTTAGTCCCTGCAGAACCAGTGTTGGTGTGCTTTATACTGCTTTGAATTTGGAGTCCTTTAGGGCTTTCCATAGTTGATTGTATCTGTGATGGTAAATGGAAAGTTCCACTCAGTCTTGTCTGGTTGCATTTAGAGTGATGTGAGATGGTATGTTTGCAGTGGGGTTTTTCTTCAGCTAAGAGTGTTTGGGTAAAGTGAGCAGTAGATGTCCTCTGTGGGACATCGTGTTCTGTCCTTATCTAAATGCAAGTAAAACTGTTGCGGCTTTCTCACCTCATTGTGAAAGCAGTGATGTGTGTTGCCTCTGCTGTTGTGCATTAACTTGAAAGTGAAGTTCTCTGCATATGTAAATATTCTGGGTTGTTTTGTCTGCAGATGGCATATCTCTAGGGAAGGAGGAGGGAGGTTTAAGTTCTAACAGGAAAAGTTCAAACTGGTGGACAAGGTTAGTTAACACGAAGAGCTCAACGCTGAAGGAATGAGGAGTGAGACAAGTGTTGTCCTCAGAATGCCAGGCTGAGGGCAGTGTGTGCAAGCACAGTGCACGTGCAGCTGATGCTGTACCAGGCAACTGGGAGAAGCGCTGCATGTTCTTCACAAGAGAGAAAAGTGGACAAAAATCTGATGTGATGTTAAACAGTCTTCAAGATGCATCACTAAAGTCAATCAGCTTAAGTACAGGGTTGCCACATAATGCAGTCAATTTCAGGTTCTGGTACCTTAGAACTGTTTTCTCCTTCACTCTTTCGAGTACCTCTTCATATTAATTCCCACCTAGGCTTGTGGGTAACAGCAGTACCTCTGTAAAATGGTCTTGTCCTGGAATGACTTGTACACATGGTTAGCTACTGCCTCCTCAGTTTGGTTCTAAATTATTACTTACCCCTATTCAGTCTCAAACCAGATTCAAAGTGATAGCAATTGGAAACTGTTCATCTTCTGTTTTGCTAATGGAGAGGTTATCCTGTTCTGTGTGTAACAATCATAACTTACACTCCCATCTTTGTATTTCTTGGGGAATGATTTCTCAGTTAATTTAACTAAGCTGTGGGGATTAGATTTGTGAGTGCTCCTAGGGACGTGAGAAATATCCAGGGGGGAGTGTTCAGCCATGTGACGTGTGAAATACCAAAGGGGCAGGCTGGAAGGTTTCTCTCCAGCCAAATAGTAAACTTCAGAGAAAAAGGAAGCGGGAATGTAAGCAAACCTGAGCGAGTGAGTGTGGAGCTCTGTGGCTGGCAATTAATAAAGCGGAGAGAATGAATGAACCAGAGGTCCAAGATTTCCATACATCTGACCTCAGGAAGCCTACACTGAAGAAAGTGAATGTTTGGCCAGGCGCTGGAAGGAGAAGCAGTAGCTCTAGAGCTTCCTTTTCTTGCCCATGTGTCTGTCTTTGTCTCTGCTTGTTCTGCTGCGTAGGCAGTGTCCTAGGGCATCCTCAATGCCTGGATTATGGGCCACCTTTCCAGCCTCCTTTCCACCTGGAGTTCTGCTCTGCCTATGAAAACTTTGGCTGCTGTGACCGGGAGAGAGACAATAGCATTGCAGCAAAATACCATGAGATCCTGGATTATATTGATCCTCGGGGGCATAAGCTGTGTGGAACATATATCAAAGATATTCTCTGTCAGGTAGGGTGGAAAATCTGTAGCTTTGTCCTGTGTTTTGGGCTTACTTGGGGTCAGTTGTAGTTCTGATAGTCTGTTATGGATGTCTTGCTGGGAGAAGAGGTGAGGGAGCATGGGAGAAGTAGGTGGACAGAGTAATGGCATCAAATCTTCAGCATGCATTTAGCAAAGTGCTTTGGCAAGATATAGTGACATTTGATAGCAGTAATGGTTTACGAAAGCTTTGCCCGATTCAGGTGATGATGGGAATCTCGCTGCTCTGCTAGTTTTCCTGTAGCAAAGGGGAGAGTTATAGGTCTATACTTTATTTTCTGCTTGCAGTTAGTAGGTTCTGGACTACAAATTCTACAGGATGAAATGATGCAAGAATTATCAGGCAAAGCACTTAGATCCCTGGATCACAAGAAGGAGATATCCTGATTATGATCCTGCTGAGGATGCTTCAAATGGTGGTTAGAAGTATAGCAGTTTATTAGGAAGTAGGTTCATGCAGCAGCAGCAAAATCCTGAGTCTTCAGCTGCTGTTTCTATTGGTGCTGTCTGCATGATGTCCATCTGCCTCACAGAAGCAGGCATTGTGTGGTGACAAAAGACCACAGGCACTGCTCTGTTCTCCCTGAGCTCTCCTTCTCTGTCCCCCTAATTAAAGAACAGATCTGAGCTCCTTTTTAACAGTTCTTAGTCATGCAGAGCAGCACTTACTGCATGCCAAAAGACCAAGCAGCCAAAAGCCACACTTCTTACTAAGAACATATAAAACTATCCTAGTTAAAATTTCCTTTGCCCTAAAACTTCATCTGTGTACCAAAATGTTACCATCCTTTTGGATGCTGGCAAGGTGCTGGCATCTGCATGGGGGATGAGAACTTTTTCAGCATTAGGGCTGAGTGGAGTAACAGCAGGGTTCTGTTTGTCACTTTACAGTCAGTAAACCAGCAAGCAGTGCATTGCAGGTACTGGCAGGATGGCCGGTGTTGGTGTTACAAATGTTTTCTGCATGATCCAAGTAGAAAAGAAACGCTGTAAAAACGTGGCTATTTCCTCTTCAGATTTAGGTTGTTCACTCAGGGTGTGATTTCAATTTGGATTTCTTATAAATATATTTTGTAGCAAGAGTCCTTCTCCTCAATTGAGACATACACTTTTCGAAGTAGTAAGTTATGGCTTTCTTTATTTTTCTGGAATTCACTTGCTCATTATTTGATGGGGAGGAACTTGGGTTTGTTACATCTTGCTGCTCCTATAAAGTTTGTTCCTGTTTGTGCTGTCACAACCATGTTGAGTTTTTTGACAATTGTTATTTGGCTGTTGAAATAGTGGAGAAGCAAATATCTACAGAGTGATTTCACTTAAGCAATGTCATTTTGCTGGATCAAATTGTTACTGATCTCATCTGAAAGGGATGGAAAGTAGTCTTTATTCTACTACCTCCACAGCATCACAATAATTAGTAGTTGCTGCAGCAATCTCAGTGGTCCTGCAGAGCCCAGGCACAATGCCACAGAGTGCATTTTACCTCTGCAATGAGCTGTGTTCCTTTGAAGACAGAAGAGGATTCAATGAGGATGTGCTCAGGACCACGGATTTCCTGCTGTAACTCTAAACCTACTTTGTTTCTCTTGATAACTGACTTGGGGAGGTTTCCAAGCAGACTCTAAAGCCATCTGTCTTTGCTGATAGAGTTGCTTCATTTTGCGGTATTTCTGCTAGCTAAGCGTGCTGTAAGCATTGGTAGCTTTTTGAGTCTGACACTCAGCTGTGTAGTTTGAGGATTTAGCCCAAAAATGGAAAATGAAACTCTGAAAACTGCCTGTGATGTTCTTAAGATGGTGCTGTTCAAGTTGAAGGCTGTGAAATCTCCCTGGATGCAAACCGTGCTCCATGTGCTAGGACAGCTGTTTGGCTGCTGGCTGAGAGGATGTTTCTCTGCTCAGGAAGCTGCTGAAGGAGAGGCTGGAAAAAGCAAAACCAAAAAATAAACCGAAGGCAAAATAAGCCTTTTTAAAGCTGATTGAAAGCCGTGAGTATGGAATAGGAAAACGTAGCATGGGATAGGAAGTACAGACAATCACACTTCTAAGGGAGTTTTAAATCTCAGGCCTCGCTTTATTGCTGAATGCACACTCTTTTTGCAGGCAAGCTATTAGAAAATAGCAAAGAGTTATTAATATTATCTCAGCAGCTTCTGCTGATTCTGCTCTGTAGTGTAGCTGGATTAACTCTATTGTTTCATACACACTTGAGCAAAATGAAGGCAGACTCACAGTAACTACTGTAAGGCCATCTAATCCTTGAAGTTTCTGTGGAGCGTAAGGGATGTTCAATTTTGTTTAAGCAGATTTATTTAATGTAGCAGTAAAGATACTAGTGTAGTAATTCTCCTTTCTTGAGCTTGTCTGTGTAGCTACCTTCAGGTGTAGGATTTGGAGTACAAGCTTTACGGGGGGCAGCTGAGGGAACTGGAGTTGTTCAGTCTGGAGAAGAGGAGGATCAGGGAGACCTTATTGCTCTCTACAGCTCCTGCAGGGAGTTTGTGGTGAGCTGGTGGTCAGCCTCTCCTCCTGGTTAACACTGATGGGGTGAGAAGTAGTGGCTGTAAGTTGTGCTGGGGAGGAACAGGTTGAATATAACAACAACAAAAAAATCTCAGTACGAGTGGTGAGGCACTGGCACAGGCTGCTCAGGGAGGTGGTAACCATCCCTGGCCATCCCTGGCAGTGTTCAAGAACCCCTAACCAAGGGATGTGGTTAGTGGGCATGGTGCAGATGGCTGATGGTTGATGTGATGGACTTGGTGGTCTTTCCTACTTGAATGATTCTGTAACGTATCTGACCAATAAAAACTCTGGACAGATTATTTTAGGCTGCTGGCATGAAAACCAGTAAAATAATCTGTCTGCAGCTCCTTTGCTTTTAAATTAAATTAAAAATAAATTTTAAATTTATATTAGTTTTTTACTGACTAATATAAATTTGTGAGATTTTAATAAATGTTTTATGGAAGTTCTGGCCACATTTTTTTTTTGCAAGATGGTGAATTTGGATATAGTAACAAATTCAAGCCTACTGCTTGATTTTTTTTTATTACTGCACATGCTAAAATCTAATGACAGATGAAGGGAGTTTCAGATGCACAATATTTGAAAGCATTTCTTGCAGTTCTTTTTTTGCTGAAGATTGCATATGGAGTTAATGGTAGCTACATGAATTGCATAGGATGAGATTCATTTTCTCAGAATAGTTCTAAATCTCAACCACAATTGAGATTTATGCACTTTTATGCATGTCAGAATGTAGTTGAAGTTGTACAGCTTCAGACCAATTCAGCCCAGTGTCCTGTCTGAAAGTAGCCAAAAGCTGCTGGAGGAGCATGTAACAGGAGGGTGAATGCACAGAATGTGCTCCTAGCTTCCAGTTGTTTTCAGCTCAGGCACTTCTGAAATCACATGTGACTTTCTTGGCACTCAATCATCAGTGGTTTTCTCTTCCATTCGGTCATCTAGTCTTGCTGTGAGCCAGTGTACATGTCTAGTAACTGCAATTTTCTCTGGCAAAGAAAGTATTTTGCTTCCTTTTCTAACTTATCTCCTGCTAATCTTATCTGATGCTCCTCATTTTTCTTCTGGGGTAGAGGTTGAACAAGCAATGCTCATTCATCATTTCAATGTCTCATGACTTTTACAGACCTCTGTCATGCTGTCATCCTGCTCCTGTGCATCTCTTCAGAACTGCTCACTGACAGCCTACTGAGCTGATCAGTGCCTCTTTCCTTGTCACTTTTTTCTTGTGGGAGAGCAGAGCAAAAGATCCCTACAGCAAGGTAGAAAACATAACCTGCTTTTAACAGACAGAGAATAAAATGCCTGGCTTAAAATCTAGCAGATGAAACAAAGGGAGACTTCTAATAGCAGAGGTCAGAGTAGATTGATAGAAAAATCTCTTAATAAATCCATAGGAGCCTGTAGCGATGGAGGATTCCACAGCGTAGATGTCTTTCTTTTGGGAGTAACTTAGGTGCAGCTGATAGTGCTTTGCTGAAGGAAGCTGCTACTGAGCTCTGAGTTCCTTTTAGCTGTATATTGAGTGGCTTTCTACTACTCCAAAGATGACTCATTGTGCTCTCTACCGTATTAATTTTTCATTTCACTGCTTTGCTTCTACAAAGAGGAGCCTTGGCTTTTCCTAGATGTGTGCACAACTGCATTCTTTAACTTTCTAGGAATGTTCTCCGTATGCTGCACATCTCTATGATGCTGAAAACCCAAGGACGCCTCTCAGAAACCTTCCAGGACTTTGTTTCGACTACTGCTCTGAGTTTCATTTCAGTTGCCGCTCTGCCATCAGCTTGCTCACCAGTGATAAGCACATTCAAGAATGCTGTGAGACCAATAAGACTCGCTTCTGCAACCTCCTTCGCCTGCATGACGAGGACTATTGCTTCCCCAACGTGCTGAGGAACACGGCCCTCAACCGCAACCTGGGCTCAGTGGTGGAGGACCGCAGGGGCTGCCTCCAGCTCTGCCTTACCGAGGTTGCCAATGGCCTGAGGAACCCGGTCCTCATGCTGCATGCCAACGACCAGACCCACCGTATGTTTGTAGCTGAGCAGGTGGGGATCATCTGGGTCTACCTACCTGATGGCAGCCGGCTGGAGGAGCCATTTTTGGATATTAAAAGTATCGTGCTGGCAACGCCGTGGATAGGGGATGAAAGAGGCTTTTTGGGGATGGCTTTCCACCCCAACTACAAGAACAATGGGAAATTTTACATCTATTATTCATATATGGATAAGAAGCAAGTGGAAAAAATCAGAATCAGTGAATTGAAGGTTTTGGCCTCTGATGCCAACAGAGCAGATCCACACTCAGAAAGGTAACGTTTATGTTGAATGCTACTGTGTGCCATGGTAAGAAATGTTTTTCTATGTTCTTGTCTTTCCCCCTTGCAGAACTGGCACTGTTCCCATGTTGAGTGTGTCTGTTAAAAAGCTAATGGGGCAAGTTGGCTGAAGTCTGCACAGCAAACTAAAAAGACGTGAAAACAACCCAGGATCCAGACTTTTGAATCGTTCTGTCTTTCTGTACTCTTGCCTTTTTAAAGAGCAGTAATAACTTCAAGCCTTGAAGCTTGTAAAGCACAACTTTCCTTGGAAGTTTTTTGTGCTCTGGGGGAACAAGGATGTTTCAGTACAGTACTGTACATTCATTTGATCTGGTGTTTCCCCACCCCCTGCCAAAACTAGTCTCAGTGATAGAGAAGAACTTGTTAATAGCAGACTTATTTTCTTTCAAGTTTTGCAGTCACCATATGATACTCCAAAGATGGTGCTGAAGCCTTTAGAACCACCAGCTACTTTTCATATAAGAAAGTAGAACCCAGCTTCCACAATTGGAGTTCACAGGGCAACAACTCTTTGCTTTAGTGAACGCATTGTGTGTTTCTGCTTGTGTTAGCAAGTGAGCTGTGACACTGCTCTGCCTATAGTGCTAGGTGAGCACTGCAGCTAGTGCTAGAGGTATTGAGGCAGTGCAGGTTAAAGCTGTGGTACATGGAGCAGGAGTGTGCTACATGGCTTGTGGTTATTGTTCATCAAGGGGTGCCATAAAGTGCACTGCTACAAGGCATGCAGCCAGCTCTAAGCTGCAGGCTCACAAGAACTAGGGTGTAGCTGAGCCCTTGCACTGCATCTGAGGAATCTGCACAGCTAGGTGATTTTGCTTTCTTCTACAGTAGGAATGCACTACTTCTGTGGCCTGCCTTGAATGGTCAGTTCCTTCCAGTAACTACATCTGGATTTCATTTATTTTGTTTTCTTTTAGGAATCTTTTGGAACTTGAAGAACCAGCTGCAAATCATAATGGTGGGCAACTGCTCTTTGGTGTGGATGGCTATCTGTATCTATTCATAGGGGATGGAGGGAAAGCTGGAGACCCTTTTGGGAAATTTGGGAATGCTCAGAACAAGTAAGTAGGAGTGCAGGCGAAAACATTGAGCTCATCTACCAAGTCGCAGGGCTTAGAAATGAGACAGTATGGAAGAGTAAAGTAACAGTGCTTCTGGGAAGTGCTTGTTCATAATTACAAAACTTAGTTAAAATTTTGTGTTTTGAAAGTAGAGGGGACCCAATTCACTGAGAAGAGTGGAAGAGTTTTCTGTGATTTAGTTGCAAAACATACCAGCTGTTGTTTTACTCTTTTGAACAGATAATTTTTCCTTGGGGAAGAAGGGAGGGAACTGTCCATGTCTTCACTTGTTTCTCACACTCATGCTTGTAAATCTGTCTTTATCTGTTGCTCTCTTTAGGAGTGTTTTGCTGGGGAAAGTCTTGAGGATTGATGTGGATGGAAGAGGTCCTGATGGCAAGCCATATCGCATCCCTCCTGATAACCCTTTTGTGTCTGATCTCAAGGCTCGCCCTGAGGTTTATGCTTATGGGGTCAGGAATATGTGGCGCTGTGCGGTTGACCGGGGGGATCCTGTCACAAAGAAGGGAAGAGGGAGGATATTCTGTGGGGACGTTGGACAGAACAGGTTTGAAGAAGTCGACATAATTGTTAAAGGAGGAAACTATGGCTGGAGAGCGAAAGAGGGATTTGAATGCTATGACACAAAGCTTTGCCATAATTCCTCCTTGGGTAAGGAAGAAGCTTCTCATAGGAGCTTACTTTATTTTTATACTACTTGTATTTAGTTGGCTATAGTATTACTTTTCCATGTAGCTGAACAATCCAGTTCCTTGTTGATTGGGGATTGTTTACTTAAAAGCAGAAATCTCTTCTCCCCAGCCCTTGTGTTGATATGAAATGCTGACCACCTTCAGGGAGGGAATTCCTTGTCCTACACTGAAAGTGGAACTTAAGGTCAAAGCCTGTGGCTTTTCCAGACTGCTTTCCTTGGGAACCCAATAGATTGGGTCTACATACAAAACTGATGCTCTGTTTCCTTCAGAGCTTTCTTCAGAAGCTCTGAGCGTGGCTATGGAAAAGGCAGGGCAACCAGGCTGGTGCTGGGACCATGAAACACATCTTACAAAAGAGCCAGTGTATCCCAGTGAGTAGAGTGCTCCAGCAGAACACACACTCTGTGCTCTGGATCTGGATGTAGGTGTGACCAGACAAACTTGACTCACTTGGCTTCCTTCAACAAAGAGTGGATACTGATGGTCTTTGTAGAGCATGGTAGTAGGACTGGGTATTATGTTATGTAATGTTCCTTCAGTTCTTGGAGGAAAACATCTGATCTCAAGCTGGTATGGATGTTTCTGAAACATCTGCATGAGCAAACTTGCATTTACAAGTATGAGTATTTGTCATCAACAGCTCTCCTATGCTTGTACTCATGGCTCTTTTTAAAAATAAACCACTTTAGATTTTGCCTTTAATTTTTAGTGAGCTACATTTGTGATCTGTATCCTCATTAAGATCAAAGATGAAATATAGTCCTGTCTTCACTTTTTCCCCCAGGCTGCATAATTTTGTAGGATCTGATTCTGGGCTTCAAGAAGTGTTGAATTCAGCATTAATGTTGCCTGAAACAAAGCATTTATCTTCAGAAATCTTATGACAAATTGTTTGTAGGTTACATATTTATGCATGTTCTGTTCTGAGAATGGCAGCAAGCCCATGAAGATGCTGAGCTGCCTTGCAATTGTTTGATTCTATCCTCTAGGAACTCGTAAAGGCAATCTGCTGGGTGGTGCAGTGACAGATCTGTAAGATATTTCTGCCTACAGGTTGCTACCTTTCTGCAGAGAGCTCTCTAAAGCCCTGGGTTGGTTCTGTCCTGGAATAAATGACTGAATCCCCATTGAAGTTTAAATTATGCCATTTATTCAACTCTTCTACTCCTTAATGTCACTTTGTGCCCGTTAGTATTACTGAACAACTGCTTTTTGATTCTCTTTGGATATAAATTTCTCTGTTCTCATGTTTCTGTGTTTAACAGATGATATTCTTCCAATATTTGCTTATGGCCGCAATGTGGGCAAGTCTGTCACTGGAGGTTATGTGTACAGAGGATGTGAATCGCCCAACCTGAATGGCCTCTATATCTTCGGTGATTTCATGAATGGGTGAGATGAGTCACTTTCTCTGCATCTCCTGTTCTGCATACGTATGGACCTTAACAATGTAACAGAGACCTTTTGAACTGGAGTAAATGAGAACCCAATATACTTGTGTATTAGATTAAGGGCTGTAACCATTGTGACAACATTTTGGTGAGATTCTAAACTTCTTCCAAGTTAGGTCCTTAAGATGAGTTTGCTTTTGCTCAGGCTTTTTTTTTTTCTGAAAGAGATGATCAAAGCTAGTCAACAGTTGGGGTCTTAACTGACACTTCAGTGTCAGTAATGCATGATTTTGGCAGGAACAAATCTTGATAAAACATAAAAGTTTTATTTTTCATCTAGTCGACTTATGGCTTTACGGGAAGATGAGAAGACAAATAAGTGGAAGAAGCAAGATATCTGCATTGGCAGCACAAAAGCTTGTGCTTTCCCTGGGATGATCAGATCTTACAGTAAATTCATCATCTCATTTGCTGAGGATGAAGCAGGTAGAGTATCTTGCCAGTCCTACCTTCATTGGAAATAATACCGTCAGTTTTGTGCTCTGGGGCGAACACTGAACTTATGCTGCTTCTCACAAGTGTTGCTAAAGAGTAAGCGCTAAACGACAGGTTTGTAGCCATTTCAGTGTGGCAGGAAGGGGGTTCTGAGGTGTCCTGTATCCTGTGAAGCTGTTGCAGGCTGGCTTCGTGAAGTTCAGGAATCAGATCCTCAAGTGAACTTCACTTGGAATGCTCCAGGTTCCTTACAGAGTTTGAACTGCTGTTGATTTTATGGTACACCTTCTTTTTTTATTAGTTATTTTATTAATGAAAAGGCTACATCAAGACAGTTTGTTCCTCCATTGTGACAGTTCATGTAGAATGTAGTGTCCGGTTCCGTGCTCCCCAGTTTAAAAAGGGATCTCCTCAGAGGAGTCCAGTGGAGGGCCACAAAGATGATAAAGGGCCTGGAGTTTCTCCCCTATGAGGAAAGGCTGAGTGAACAGGGTTAGTTTAGGCTGGGGAAAAGAAGACTGAGAGGGGATCTGATAAATGTTTTTAATGTCTAATGGGAGGTGGGAGGCAAACAGATGATATCACTCCATGATATGTAGTGATAGGACCAAGAGTCATGGCCTAAAACTTAAGTTCTGTACTAACATGTGGGAGAACATCTTTGTGGTAAGGGTTATGGAGCACTGGAATGGGCTGCTTAAATAGGTTTGTGGAGTCTTCCTCCACAGCAATATTCAAGACCCTTCTGGACCTGGTTGTGTGGCCTATTGTAGGTACCTGCTTTGGCAGAGAATTGGACTCTATCTCTTGAAGTCCTTTCCAACCCTTGTGATTCCATGATTCATTCTTGCTTGAATTCTTGTAGTTAATCTGAATCTCTTCCTCTTATTAGTTTAAATTCCTCCATCTATTCAAAGCAACAATACTTCACACTAGGATTACAGACCAGAAGATTTTACTGGCAATGAAAACAGAGGCTGGTTTTCAGAGTTCTGTGGAAATGTCTCAGTGCATAGAGATATTTTGTGGTCATGGTGACAAGACTTTCACAGAGATTAAATGCATACTTCGTTTACTTCTACACAGTCTCCTGACAAAGGTCTATGCAACATAAAAAACCAAAGCAAATTTATGGGATGCTCAGATATGCTCTAGGGAGAGATTTCATGATTTAGCAGAGAAGAGCTTTACTTGTCAGAAGAAGATCCTAGGCCATTTGTCTGGCACGTTTTGTCAGATTTAGCCTTTAGCATGAACTATGTACAATTTTTAATTGTTCTAAGTGTGGGGTGAGTGGATGTTAAATGTCTCTTCTACTTGTTGCTGTTCAGAAACTATTATGGTGCTGTAATTTGAAATGCTACAATAATTTTTTCTCTTTTACAAGTTGCTGTAATTTGCCTGAATATTATTTTAGTGGGTGCTGAAGGAAAGACATCAAGAGCAGTTGCTCTCCTTGGCAGCCATACAGTAATAAGAAGCTTTTGCCTTGCATGGATAGCCAGTTTAGATCCTTTGCATGCTTTTTTTTTATTTTTTTTTTGTGCCTCTGAGAGATGGCTAAATAATTTTGTAGTTTTCCTTTCTAATTTCTAGCTTCTGGATGTTTCTTTGGTAAAAACAATTTTAAAAAGCATGTCTTTATACATAGGAAAGTAACCATGTAGAAGGTCATCTTCATGAAGGCCCTGCTCATGCTCTGTGTTTGGTTGAGGTCTGCTCTTGTGTGAAACTCTGCTGCATTCAGGAGATCGCTTGTTGTCCCCAGAAGTCAGCCTACAATAGGGCAGGGTGAAGTAAGGCACGACTGAGAGAGCAACCAAAAGGGTTCTCTTTCTGACCATGTTAACTAGTGAAGAGACAGAAAACAGGGAAAAGTGGAACCGGGTTTCAGTTTGGACTCTTAAACCTGAAACTGCTTTTCTTCACTTCCATTTAGGTGAGCTGTATTTTATGTCCACTTCTTATCCCAGTGCCTATGCGCCACATGGATCTCTTTACAAGTTTGTTGATCCTGCAAGGTTAGTAACTAAAGACGTTTTTAATGTCAAATTCTTCTGTAATCACCACACATTCTTTAACTGCCATGGGAGACAGAATTCAAAGTACTTCTGAAACATAATCTCACTACCTTCTACCTCCAGACCTTGATTTCTGTTGACCCACTGTACATCTGGTGCAACTTCTCGGTTTCAGTGAACTTGTTCCTCACTTATCGTGTGTGTACCCAAAAGTGGACCAAGTTCTGATAACTTTAAGATCTGGGACAGTGAGAATCAAAATTGGATCTCCTTGTTTGTGCCTTTAAAGTATAACACAGTGATATCTAAATGCATGTTCTTCAGGGTTATGAGAGGGGAACATTTTGTTTACACTTCAACCAGAGATCTTGTAAATCAAAGAAAATTGATTTGATAACAGCAAGGATACTTTTCTTTTTTGATTTTACTTTATGCTGTCATCATGTTCCTTTCCATAATGAAAGGGAAGTCAGAAAATGAATTGATAAACCATAAAGTAGTAAAGCACAATGAAAGGCTGACATGTGGCAACACGAAAGCAAATAGTTATGGTCAAGGCTCTTGGCCCATCTGATAAATTCAAACCTAGCCTAAGCTGTGAAGGGTTGAATGTATTTCCACTTACTAGCAAATTAAAGGTGCAAATCAGTTGTCTTACCATGCATCTTACCAGGGCTTGTTTTCTCCAACTCAAATCTGCCTGGCACGGTTCATCTGTGAGAGGAAAAAAGATACTGCCAACCCTCATAGCACCCAATTTCTGTGTATGAAGGACTTTGTTATCTTGCATGGTCACTGCAGCGTTGACTGTTCCCTGCTGCTAAAGCAATCTAAATGGAAAACAGAACATGCTGCTGAGGCCAAGGCTCTTGTGAACTGTGCTGTTACATGTTGAGGCTGATGCAGTTTAATAAGATCAGCCATGAACATTCCCTAGGACATTTAACAGTGACCTTTTGCTAATTGAAAAGTACTGGTAATCTGATTCTTCGATGTCTTACTGCACTTTTTGACACAAGGACTGCAAGGATGTCTGTCCCTAATTTTATGCAAGGAAATTGGCTTACAGGAGTCAACCTCATGTGCTCTTAAGAACTACAACATGGAAGGCAGATAATTTTGAATCTTGTTTAATTTTCCATATGAAAATTCTCCTCTCCATGTGAACTGAGAAATATTAAAGCTGATGAGGCAAAGGGAAAAGCAGGTTGCAAGATCATCCCTTGCAGGTTGAGCACCCAGTTCTCCCTGAGATCAGCAGGAATTAGTCCATCTTCTAAAGGAAGACGATTAGTCTAGTCGTCTAATGGAAGAATCCCAAAAATGTGTACTAGCATTTACAGAGTCTGGAAGTGATGGCAGGTATTTGTGATGTACTTTGAGTTTTAGTATTAAATAAAAATAAAAATGCAGTCCAAGGTTTAGCTACAATTCCTCTTAACAAAGAGAAGTGAAACCTGGCAGTTCATGCAGCATTCAAACAGTTGGAGTGTGAACCTGAGTTTTCCAAGCAAAATGTTTTTTCCACTTTATGTAAGTATCCCTGCAGAAGTCTGTTTTTGTGAGTATACTTATGCAACTTTTTTTCAAACTTTTGGGTTAAAAAAAAAAAATACAATATTGTGAGCAACCACTTTAAATATGCTCCATTTCTTCTCACATTTCCTATAATATGAAGATTGTGATAAGTCCTCTCCTATCCCTGCAAGTGTGGCCTTCTGTTTCCCTGCAGGAGCCTCTCCAGGAGGCCTCCTGCCCAGGAATTGCTGTGCAGTAATGCACTGCATTAGGATGGCTCCATGGGAGCAGCAAGCCCTCTGGCAGGAATGTGATGCTTTCACTGCTCTGAAAGGCTTGCTGGAAACAAGCCAGCTCTGTCCAGTGCTTCTGGAGCTTCATATCCATTGTTTTTAGGTGGATCTCTGGAATGTATTCTTGTATTTTCTGGCTTCCATTAGCCTGGATGCAGAACTGCTCAGGTTTGTCCTTGTCTGTCAGGTTAAGTGCTTGGCAAGTTTGTCTGGGGTGTGCAAAGCTTGGCCCTGGAGTAGAATGCTGATGCCTCCAGCTCCTGGGCTGCACTCTGGCCTTCTGACCATACTCTCAGTGGAGATTGTCTTCCCATTCTTCTTTGGAATTTCATGCTTTTTATGGGATTATTCTATTTCTACCCCACATGGCTGGCATGCTTCTACCTGGAGTGGCATCAAACTCCTCAGTCAAGAGTGGAGGGAGAAGAGGTGTTAGAAGGTGCTTTAAAAGTTAGGGAAGAGGGAGAAACAACAAAAGCCACCACCAAGCCTGCCCTAGTAGCTTGTCTTTTTTTTTTTTTTCTTTTTAATTGACGTGGTGTGGGGAAAGCACTCACTTGGCTGTTGCCCATGTCTGAAGGAGAATGCTGATCACAAGAAAATGCTGTGCCTGAGGTCATGCTCTGCTGTGCTCTGTGCCTAAAAGCACGCCAAATTGGAAGAGCGTGTTCTTATTTGTCATTTTTCTCTCCAGCCCTTCTCTTGGTGAAGATCAGAAAACATAGGTAAATGTAGGTCTATTGCTCTATGCAGTCCCTTCGGTTATGTCCGAAGCAGCACCCTTTGGATGTCACACCAAATTCTGTGGGGCTGGCTGGAGCTCCTTATGCTGTACTGTCAGTGGGCAAAAAGAGCTCTGTCAGTAGCGATCAGCAGCCCTGCTCATGGCAGGGGGCTGGGACGAGGTGATCTTGTAAACTTCTGGACAGTTTCTCAGGTATCTGTGCATCTTTCTGTTTTTTTTTTTTTTTCTTCAAGGCGAGCTCCACCAGGGAAATGTAAATACAAGCCTGTAACAGTGAAAATAAAGAGCAAACGGATCGCATTTGTTCCACGTGCAAGTAAGTTGGGCTTTAATTTTACCAAGAAACAAAGCTGTCAGTGGTCTTACATGTATATGATTGATGTAGCTAGTGAAGTTAAAAGCCAAAGTGCTGAGCAGGACCTATCTTGAAGTCAGGTAATCACATGTACTGTGTGCTTCTGTTGACTGATAGACCTTGGTATTTGAATTTTCCTAAATGTTGTGAAGCAACAGTGCTCACAGCCATCACAGGGGAATTGATGGCTCTGCCTAGGCATTGGGTTTGGTGCCTGTCCTTGCTTTGTGAAAAGCTCCTCAGGTCAAATCACATCATTCTTCCTCTGTGAATCTAGGGGAGTCATCTCTCCTTTCTTCTTTTTTATTTTTTTTCTGTCCTATTAGACCAGAGCAGAGGTTACATTGTGTCATTAAGTAGAAAAAACATTTAGCAAGCTGAAACTGCCTTATCTGGGATTTCTAGATACTGGTGTAATGTGAAAAATTCATAGTCTGAAGTTGGCCAGAGAAAAGTGTGCAGGGCTTTCTTACATTCCTTCAGGGCTTATTTTCCTAAATAGACATTCATAATTTCTAAGATTAAACAGACTTTATTTCCAAGAAACCCAAGAATCTTTTGATAAATGTTTATGCAACCTGTTTATTCTTTTTAGAATGCCAGATATTTTTCTAAGCTGCGCTTCTATTAAGAGTTTGTATCAGTATTTTTCTAAATTAGCCTTCTGCCTGAAAGTAGGGATAAAGAAACATCTCAATTACTCTTCTCAGAGACTGTCCTTGAGTTCCTTAATGAACCTTCACCAACCAAGCCCCCAAAAAGGTCTTCCAGCCCCCCTGGAGCTACCCCAACAGCTTCTTCTAAGAAATCTAAAAAGATGGCATCCTCCAAGACAAAAGCATCGACAGTGAAACCGGCTCTGTCCAATAAAAAGACACTGAAAACCAGGGCTGATGGTGAACACAAGGCAAAGCAGAAACAGCAGAAGGTTGCAAGGGTCCCCAGAACAACACCAGCACCATCTCTGCCGAAAAGGAAGAGCTCCCAGCTAACTGAAGCCAAGAAGCTTCTGCCAAAGAAAGCTGCACAAGCTAAGGGAGAAGTGGGAAGGAGAAGGAAGGAGAGTAGATGAAGCAGCAGCTTTTGAACCTCATGGCAATCCCTCAAACAAGCAAGTTATATGTAAGGTGGTGGAACAAATGCTCTGAATCCACTCTTTCCTTTGGTTCCTCACTGTTGCTCTCCTTCCTTTCTGTCAGTGTTAGCGGTCTGTATGTGTTCTATTAAACCTTAATGGCATTAAACCTTAAGTATTAAACCTTAACTGCATTTAAAATATTTTACTGAAGTTACGAACAACGTGTGAGTTCCTGAGGGCCGTGACGTGGGCTGGCACTGTTAGGAGCACCGTGAGATCGGCGCACCTGGGGCTGCTGCGTTCTCGGCGGCTGTGGCCTGTAACGAACCGCCATTTTTTTTTTTTTCCCCAGTGCGGTGCATTTACTGGAGCAACGGGGCCGCGGCGTTACCGAGGCTGTGCCCGCGTACCGCCTTCCCCTCGGGCGAGGTTGGAGCCGCAGCGCGCGGCACCATTTTGCAGTTCGGGCTTCAGCCGGCGCTGCTTCCCGCGTTGGGCTTCCTGCTGCTGCCACCTGCTGGCTGCAGCCATGCCGCGAGGCCGGCTGCGAGCTGGGTCTGCAGCGCAGGGTGCTAGCGACCAGCCCTCGGGCCGAGCTGCGTGGGAGCGGGGCAGGGACGGCGACGCGTTCTCCCTGCGGCCGTGCGTGTTTTTTTTCCCAGTGGAGTGGGGAGGCGGGTTCGGAACGGAACTATTCGATAGGAAAGAGAAAGTTAACGAAAAAAAGAAAGCCAAAAGCTTGCGAGGCCCCAGCGAGGATCGAACTCGCGACCCCTGGTTTACAAGACCAGTGCTCTAACCACTGAGCTATGGAGCCACCTATCAGTTCCAGCCCTGCCGATGCCTCCTGTGCCTGGGGACGTCGGGCGCCGCGTGCTCCAGCACGCGCCGCGCCTTGCAGCCCAGCTCCGCGTTCTGCTGCCTCCTCGCCCCCACCCGAGGCTCCGAGCAGCTGGAGCTGCGTTAGGCCACAGGCAAAGAACGGCAAGCCCCGCCTTGCCTCTTGCTTCTAGGATCTCCGAGGGCGATTTGGCTTGCGCGGCTCCCCTCAGTCCCGCCCTGCAGTTTCTCCGTAGCCGTTTCTTCTGGCGGGAAATGCTGACGGAAGGCGAGCGCCGAAGTTCACTTGTCTGTGAGCAGCGGGTCGGCCCGACCAGCTTATCAACAGGACAGCGAGTGCAGCTGTATAAGCGTGGAATAAAGCAGCATTTGCACGTGATCAAATATGCTGTTTCAGCAAGAAGGATTCAGTGATGAAGTGAAGCTTTACGGAATGGTTTCTTCAGTGTTCTCTTGAGCCCACCACAGTGACCTGCTATGCAGGGGGAGGTGATTCTAGCTTCGCAAGGCAGGGCATGATGTAAGCTTCCCCACCAAAGACACCTCTAAGCCCAACCACCACAAACAAAACCAGTGTAACTGAGTGATTGCAACCAGTTTGGTGTTGCAAGTGTCCTCAGGTTTGGTGAAATAACTGCTGCAGAACGATTTTTCTTGCAGATAAACCACAAGCATAGGCTGGACCCAACAACGAGAAAGACGTGTTGTGGCCTCAGTTTCTCTCTTCATTTTTGGCAGAGCAAGAAAACAAAACTGTGGAAGTTGCCTCCTTTTCTTTGCATAGAGGAGCCAGTTGTCTTCATGTGACCAAAAGTAAAGCTCCTTGAAATAAGAATGGACAGAAAAAGCTGCCCTAAGGCAAATATAGACTGTTCATCCATTCCACAAATCATGAAATTGAGTTGTTTTAAATGTTATTACAGTTTTCCTATGCTACGAAGAACCTACTTTAGCCAGTTTAATAGAACTGAACAGTAGGGTGAGATGTATTCCGACGGAATAGTATTGAAAGCTAGTTTTCTGTGGTGGTGTATCTACTTGTCACTGTTGTTTTTTAAGTGCAAAGTGCTGTAATACTCCTGCTTCCAGGCTCCCTTTCCCGTCTTCCTAGAGCTCACTGGGAGATGGGGGAACAAACGGACCCGTATGCACATCGCAGGGGGGTTGAAACTTGCTGCTCATTGTGGTCCTTTTCAATGCAGGCCGTTCTATGAATCCTACTTGACCAACCTGATGGCCTTTTATGATGGTGTCACTGCATCAATGGACAAGGGAAGAGCCACTGATGACATTTATCTTCAGTAAGGCCTTTGATGCCACAACAAATTAGAAATATATGGATGGGTGGACTGTTCAGTGTACAAAGAATTGGCTGCAAGATTGAGTCCAGAGAGTGGTGGTTAATGGCTCAGTGTCTGGATGCAGATCAGTGACAAGTGGCATCCTCCAGGGGCCAGTGCTGGGACCAATACTCTTTGATATCTTCATAAATGACATTGATACTGGGGTTGGGTGCACCCTCAGCAATTTGCTGATGACACCAATCTGTGGGGCTCAGTCAACATGCCCAAGGGATGGGATGCCCTCCAGAGGGACCAAAGACAGGCTTGAGCAGTGGGCCCAGGTGAATCTCTTGAGGTTCAAAGAATCAAAATGTAAGGTCTTGCACCTGGGTCTAGGCAATCCCCACTAGAAATACAAGCTAAGAGATGAAAGGATTGAGCGCAACCTTGCTGAAAAAGAGTTGGGGAGTACTGGTGGATAGGAAGCCGAACATGAGCCAGCATTGTGCCCTCACAGTCCAGAAAGTCGACTGTATCCTGGGCTACATCAAAAGAAGGAAGGTCAGCAGGGTGAGGGAGGTGATCCTGCCCCTCTATTCCATACTGGTGAGGCCTCACCTGGAGCACTGCAGCCACATGTGGAATCCTCTGTACGGGAGAGACATGGACCTGTTGGAGTGCATCCAGAGAGCCCTAAAAAACTATCCAAGGGATGGGACGCCTCCCCTACGAGGACAGGCTGAGAGAGCTGGGGCTGTTCTGCCTGGAGAAGAGAAGGCTCCGAGATGACCTGATAGCGGCCTTTCAGCATCCAAAGGTGAGTTACAGGAAAGAAAGGGACAGACTCTTTAGCAGGGTCTGTGGTGATAGAACAAGGGGAAATGGTTTCAAGCTTGATGGGGGTAGATTTAGGTTAGATATAAGGAAAAACTGTTTTATAGTGAGGAAAAGGTTGCCCAGAGATGTGATGGATGCCCTGTCCCTAGAGACTGAAAACCTAGGTGAGGCTAGGTTGGGCCCTGGGCAACCTGATCTAGCAGTAGGTGTCCTTGTTCATTGCAGGTGAGTTGGACTAGATGACCTTTAAATGTCCTTTCAACTCTTAACGATTCTATGACTTTATGAAAATAAGCATGTTTTGTTTCTGTTCTTACTTGTGGATGCCTGTGGAGCTTTCAACACACTCTGAGCTGTGGCTGATGCAAACATATTTGTTACTCTACAACACCGAGCACTCAGGCGCCAACCCCACCTATTTCCATGGCCCACGCACCTCCTGACAGGCACAGCAGTGGTGTCTCAGGTGGGAAGCTGGTTTGGGGATGTTTAGGTTTGATATCAGGGGGAAGTTCTTTACCAAGAGAGTGGTGAGGTGCTGGCACAGGCTGCCTGGAGAGGTTGTGGTTGCCCTGTCCTTGGAGGTGTTCAAGGCCAGGTTGGATGGGGCCCTGGGCAGCCTCGTCTAGCATTAAATGTGGAGGTTGGTGGCCCTGTATGCAGCAGCAAGGTTGGAGCTTGATGATCCTTGAAGTCCCTTCCAACCTAAGCTGTTCTATGGTTCTACATACTGTGCAGCACAGTTTTTGTTAGGTGCCATGGGTGGGATTTAAGATGTGATGCAGATGCCATCGTATCAATGAGCTCCTTGGAGCGTCCTTATAACAGAAATGAGGAAGTGAGACACTTCCAAGATAAAATTCATCTCACCCAAAGGCGAACATCTCAAATAGGTATCTGAATCACAGTCTAGTAAGCACTTGTTTCTTGCTTGACTCTGAAGGGATTCTGAGCTGAAAATGTCAACTGTTTTCAGGCTGAATATTACAAAAAAGCTTCTTCTCAGAAAGAAGTGAGGCAGTGGCACAGGCTGCCCTGGGGGGTGGTGGAGTCACTGTCCCTGCAGGTGTTGCAGAACCGTGTAGATGTGGTACTGAGGAACGTAGTCAGTGGGCGTGGTGGGGATTGGTTGGACTAGAGGATCTTAGAAGTCTTTTCATCCTTAATGATATAATTCTATGAAATGAGACAGATTTTACCAGTCGTGACAGATTTGTTACCAGTTGACTTCTGCTAGTAACCAGACACTACCCTGCAATACATGGCTGGAGTTAGACACAGGAACTGCTTTATTTAATAGACAACAGTGCTGTCCAGCTCCTGTATGCAAGGTGCTAATGCTCTTAGCTAGCCCATCTTCACACTCATATTCGCACAGCTATGTGCTTTAGTTTGATATAAAACCTTTTTAGGGCTGAAGAAAATCTCCAAAGAAGGGCTGAGGGAGCTATGACTGTTCAGTGTGGAGAAGGCTCTGAGGAGATCTCGTTGTGGCCTTCTAGTATTTAAAAAGGAGCTTATAATCAGGAGGGAGAGTGACTTTTTAAGGGAGAATGGCCTTTAAACTAAAAGAGAAGAGATTTATATTAGATGTTAGGAGGAAATTCTTCACTCAGACGGCAGTGAGGCCCTGGCACAGCTGCCCGTAGAGCTGTGGTGCCCCATTACTGGAGGTGCTCCAGGCCAGGTAGGATGGGGCTCTGGGCAGCTGAGCTGGGGTGCAGCCCTGCCCATGGCTGGGGGTTGGACTGGGAGGGCTTTAGGGTCCTTTCCATTCCAACCTAAGCCCTTCTTTGATTATTTAAGTTTAAAACAGATTAAGGGTAGCTGAAGAATTCCTGTCAGAGGGCCAAGAGAACCTTTAGAGAGATGGAAAGATAAATTACATGTCTAAAGAAGAGTAAGATTGGTTCTGCAAGTAAACACACATTTTGAAAATTAAGCATTTAGGCAATAAAATGTGTTGTCTTCTGTCTGGCGTTATTGCTGTTGAAAGCCACTAGGTGGAACTTAAGTACTGCATGAAAAGATGAGGGAAATTCTCCTGATTTAACAGACTCAAAATGTAGAAAAGTGTGATTTCTCTAACATGCATTAAAAAAAAACCTAAAAAAACCACAACAACAACAAAAAAACCCAAACCTAAATCTGTGGGACCTCTCCTTCTTTACAAGGAGAGTGGTTAGGCCCTGGAACGGGCTGCCCAGGGAGGTTGTGGATGCCCCGTCCTTGGATGTGTT